TGATGTTGTTTCAATAATATGATGATGATCTTAGAAAAGTTTTTTCAATAATATTCTTTTTTTTAGGTAGGTGGGGATATAAGCCTCATGTCTGTTCAAACTTTACTTAGTTTACCCTTATATTTCTTTTCACTTGTATTGCTCATGAGAAAATTGATATTATGTCAAATTTGTTTGAGCAAAATTCACTTGGTCATGCTCAAATTCTTTGTTATACTTGCGTGGTGCCACTTGTAAGATTAAAATGTAAAAACATGATGAAAATGCTGTAGAATAACCTAAAATAATTTCTCCATTATGATAAAACTTTTTGAGATCATTGCATACTTCAGCTTTATCAGCCGCGCTATGGCTTCCAGCTCAATGACGACCAGTTCAGTCACGTGTAAGCCGCCATTATCTAAGAATTAGCAAATCCAAGAAATTTTGAACAAAACTTTGTAAGTTATATTGAACTCAAGAGGATAAGATTATATAAATAAAAAACCAGTTGAATTAATTAGTAATATTAAAAAAACAGTCCACTAATATTTCTTTGACCGAATCAGTTTGACAAATTAACACGGTTTTGTGCTAGGTTATTTAAATTAACTTGAGCAGATTTATTTTTCACTTGTTTATACTTTTTATGGAACATTTAAGATTATATTTGAGATCTTTTTTTTTTCTTTTTTTTTTTTTTTTTTTTTTTTTTTTGTGTAGTGTGATGACAATGAGTTTTCTATAATTAAATATGTTATGCATAAGAGATTTATTTTTGAAGGAAAAAAATCTAAAATATTCACAATATTTCTCAAAAGGAAGATTTGCATACAACCTAATTCCTTTGTATTTATATATCTAAAACCTAATTTTCAATTTTTATATATTTGCCACGTTACCTATGAATGAAAGGATTATTTCATTTCTTTCAAGTTAAAATAGTGATATATTTATGTGATATAAATTATAAAAAAGTGAAGTTTAGGTGTTAAATACGTGGATACATAGGAATTATGTGGCGTTTATGTAAATGCCCCTTCTCAAAAACTCTTTTTTTTTCTCTTAATAATTTCACGAACAAGTTTAGGTGTTATTTTCTTCTCTTAACAATTTTACAAATAATTTTATAACATTTGGCCCATTTACTTCTTTTTTAGTCTTTTAACAATTTGGCAGTTAGCTTTACAAAATTGACTCATTAATGCGCTTTTTTATATTAATGAATTTGAGTGACATTCCACAATTGTTTGACTAAATTTTTTATTCAATATTATCAGTTCTTATTATATTCTGATATTATCAATACAATTATATATGTTAAACTATAGTAATCCAAGAGCAGGAACATGCGAGAGGAATTCCTTGTTATTAATATTAATAAAAGGCAAATGATCTTATATTGTAAAAGATAAAAAAAATACAAGATAAAGTATAAATGAAGGAATAGGATGACTCCAAGCTAATGTTTACTCTTTGGAAAATAATAATTTAGTCGTTTAATATGAATGCAAAAAAAAAATCAAGCTAGACTATTCTTAGTCTTATACATTTTCTTAATTAATAACAATATCTCAATCATTAGCTTAATTTATCATCTTAATTAGTAAATAATAATTTATTTTAGATCCATGATGTAACCTAAAAAATTTCAATGGATTTAACATGTACTTAGACACAAATTTTAGATTTCAAAATTCTCGAACTTTTCGATCAAAGAGTTTTGCCAAATTATTGAAATGATAAAATGAGCTCTATTTTTGTGTGTGAAAAGGACAAATGATTAACTCTTCGATGTTATTTAATTGGAAAAAATATTACATCAGAAACTGATGTAGTTTTGCATTACGACTTCAATCGCAATGTGTCACGTGTACGGTTCGACCCAACTAAATAAAAAAACTAAATAGTTTAAAGCATGACGGGGCTAGATCATACAAGCGGCACATTAAGATTGAAGTCCTGATGCAGAAATGCATCAGAACTCCTGATATAATTTTTTTTTTTAACTTCATTGACACTAAAAATGTTTGAAACTTAGTTCAAATGAATTTAAATGTAATCATAAGCAAATAATATAAAAAAAATCTGCCAAAATTAATTGAAGGGTCTAATGGATTTTAGTTATTGCATGCTACTAGGGCTGCAAAGTGACCAATGCACTTGATGAACAACTAAAACTTAGCTCGATTAATACTCCAACATGTTATTTAACTTCAAGTTAGTTGTAAACAAATTTGATTATTTTTTAAAAGTCTCTAAGCTAAATTGATCAAAGTCAAAGTCATTCATTTATGTTCACAAACAATGCTTGTTATATTTTAACCATTAATATCTTAAATGCTCTATAGTAAATTTCATGATTGCTTATATTATATAAGATATATTATTTAAATTAAATTTAATTAGGTAGAACTTATTTAATTATATATTTAATAGTAACCACTAATTATTTAATATCAATGTGCGTTATCTTGATATAATATTCTCTTCAAAGGAAGAGCATGACAGAAATTGGTATAATTAACTAAACTAAATTAGGGTCCCTAAAATTTTCGCTAATATTTTTCGAGTAAAGAATCTACTTAATCAATTATTCAAATATTTACGCCCGCATGCATTCCACCATTCCAACTACCGCAGGCCTATATATAGAGCAATGAAGCATGGAGGAGACACTGCAGACTAAGTACTGAAGAGCAGAGCCTTCTTCTTCTCTCCCTATACATATACATATATATATCTTAGAATGCCGAACATGGAAAGCATAAAGAAGGAAGATGGGTTGGCGACAATCATGGCCATCGGCAGAGCTCTCCCTCCAAATTCCATCGACCAAAACTCCTTCCCCGACTTCTACTTTCGTGTTCACAACAGCGAGCACCTGATGGACCTCAAGAACAAATTCCGCCGCATCTGTACGTAATAATCAGCTGCTACCTTCCCAATTAATGTCTTCTTATCAACACTGGATCATATTAATTAATTAATTTATGACATGCATGCAGGCGAGCGAACCGCGATAAGAAAGCGGCACTTCGTGTGGAACGAAGAGGTGCTGAAACAGAACCCCTGCCTCCGCACTTTCATGGAACCCTCGCTGAACACGAGGCAGGAAATTGTGTGCTCCGAAATCCCAAAGCTTGGCGCGGAGGCCGCCCGCAATGCCATACGGGAATGGGGGCAGCCCGAAAGGAGCATCACCCACCTCATATTCTGCACCACCAGCGGCATGAATCTCCCCGGCGCCGACTTCGAAGCCGCCCAAATTCTGGGCCTCAACCACAGCGTGGAACGCGTCATGCTCTATCAACAGGGCTGCTTCGCGGGCGGCACCGTCCTCCGCCTCGCCAAATGTCTTGCGGAGAGCCGCAGGGGAGCTCGGGTACTGGTCATATGCGCCGAGAGCACCACCAGTCTGGTCCGCTCCCCTTCCCGAGAACACCAGTACGATCTGATCGCACAGGCGCTGTTCGCGGACGGAGCCTCGGCTCTTATAATTGGGACGGAACCCAACGCGGAGGCTGGGGAGCGACCCATCTTCAGCATCTTCTCGACGGCTCAGGTGACGCTGCCGGATTCAGGAGACGCCATTCGGGGGTACTTGAAAGAAGGGGGGCTCATCGCCACCCTGGCAAAGGACGTGCCGCTCATTATATCGGAGAACATAGAGAGGTGCCTGCAAGAGGCCTTCGGGCCGCTGGGCATCTCCGACTGGAACTCCATATTTTGGGCTCCGCATCCGGGGGGGAGGGCCATACTCGACGGGATTGAGGACAAGCTGGGGCTGAAGCCGGAGAAGCTCTGGGCGGCCAGGCATGTGCTGGCGGAGTACGGCAATATGTCCAGCGTCTGCGTCCACTATATACTTGATGAGATGCGCCGTCGGGATGTCAAGAATGGGAAGGCGCCCACCGGAGATGGGCCGGAGTGGGGCGTGCTCTTCGGGTTCGGCCCAGGCCTTACTGTCGAGACTGTCGTCCTTCGCAGACTTTTCCTCTGACTTCTAAAGTAATAGAAGTAGAGCCGCAAATAAACCCAACATGATTCTTGTTCGCTCAGCTTTAAATTATATGTGTTTGAAATAAGCTCGTATTTAAAATTATTTGTGAAAGTTTGATTTGTTTGAAATTAATTCAAATTGTTCGAAATATATAGAAGTAGAGCCGCAAATAAACCCAACATGATTCCTGTTGCTCAGTTTGAAATTATATCTGTTTGGAATAAGCATGTGTTTAAAATTATTTGTGAAATTATTGTTCGTGTTCAGTTTAATTTGTTTGAAATTAATTCAAATTGTTCAAAATATTTGAGATATCTGAATTGTTTGTATTGTTCACATTGTTCGGTTTGTTCGTGTTCGAACTGTTTGTATTGCTCGAATTATTTGTATTGTTTAAAAATAAAATGATAATAATTTAATTATTAACTATAATATAAATAAATAAATAAATGACATCCCTCTATAAAAAAAAAATTGTCTTCAAGTCTATTACTACAAATTTATAAAGTGACAACCATTCTCAACTAATGACATCCCTCTATTAAAAAAAAAATTGTCTTCAAGTCTATTATTACAAATTTATAAAGTGACAACCATTCTCAACTAATAGATATCTTAAGGGCCGCATGCTTCCTGCATGTGGTAAGCCATATTACATAGCTATTTCTCAACATGTCAAATTGAAGTTCCAAAATTAGCTTCTCACTTAAAATATATAGTGAAAATAGAGTTCATGCATAAACATAACAACAAGATCCATCCTAAAAAGATTCATCATCCTAAAATATATAGTGAAAATAGAGTTCAATAGAGTTCATGCATAAACATAACAACAAGATCCAAAAAAGGCCAAGGCATATGATGGACTACACTAGAGAATTCGTGCAAGAATAAATGAACAAGTTAAGAAGACAAATGATGATGATGATCCAAGAAGTAGGGGAAGAAGTTTATAAAACTCGATTCAAAACTAAAATATGTTAGGTATGGCTCATATACCAGGAATTTGGAGTCACTTGGATTTGGAGAGGTGTGTCTCTTGGTGTGAAGAGGTGTGTCTCTTGGTGTGAAAAGTGTGTCTCTTGGATTAGTGGGTTAGGGGGAGCGAGGGCATGTTTATAATTATCTGTGTATTTTATCTATAAATAGATGTGTAACCCTATGGGTATGTAACTCCTCTGAAATAGTGAAATTCGTCGCTCGCTCCCGAGGATGTAGGCATCTTTGTCGAACATCGTTAAATCTTTGTGTTTATCTTATGATTTTATGTCGATTCTGTGTTTTCTTCACCCTAAATTTCATAACAATTGGTATCAAGGCGCCAGATTATAGGGCGGAAGAGATCGGCGCAGGAGGAAGGAAGAATTTTCTGGTGGTTTTGCAGTAGTTCGAGGCCAAGCGAAGTTCTGCGATGATTTGGCGCATGAAGGAGTTCTTGCGGAAAAGAGCGGAAGAAGAGGCTTCATTGAGAAGCAGTTTGTCATTTTTTAGTGCTCGACCAGAGGATTTCGCAAGTTTGTCGCAAAGAGTTGCGGCAGGTACAGTTGCGACAGGAAGTGCTTGGCCAGAGGAGTTCGCAAGTTTGTCTCAGGAGTTGCGACAGGTAGTGCTCAACCAGCGGAGTTCGCAAGTTTGTCACAGAAGTTGTGGTAGGTACAGTTGCGACAGATAGTGCTCGACCAGAGGAGTTTGCAAGTTTATTGCAGGAGTTGCGGCAGGTGCAGTTGCGACAGGTAGTGCTCGGCCAGCGAAGTTCGCAAGTTTGTCACAGAAATTGTGGCAGGTGCAGTTGCGACAGATAGTGCTCGGCCAGCAGAGTTATCAAGTTTGTCGCAGGTAGAGTTGCGACAGGAGAAATTGCGACTGGTGGAGTTTGCAAATTTCGCGGATTGTTTGCAGGTTTGTCGCAGGAGAAATTGTGACAGGTGGAGTTTGGCTGGTGTATGCAGTATTTTAGCTGAATTTTTTGTGCGAACGGGAAAGGTGTTTCGTGTGAAAATTTTGATTCATGAATCGCAGGAAACTGCGGGAAAATTGCTGCAATTGATAGAGGAAATTTCAGGTTTATTTGAATTTATTTATGGTGTGTTTTGTTTCATGGTGTGTATGGTGTGTTTTGTTTCAATACAAGGGACGAAAAGTTCACTGCATGATTAATTTCAAATGGCAATGTCTAGTGAAAAATTCGAGAAATGAAGTTCGATGGAACCGAAAACTTCAGATTGTTGACACAATAAGGAACTTTGAAGACATTACGAGCTATGAAACATGATATTAATATCTATAAACTGTTGGGGAGTACAGTTATAGGTGGAGTTCACTCTGTTGGATCATATGATGAAATTGCAACAGGTATTTTAACCAAGCCAGGTATTTTCAATAAGTTTTTGTGTTACTTGAACTTGTTGAATGTTTGTAGTTGTTAGTTGGCATGGTTGCCCAACCCACTTCGGTGTAAGAAACTTCGTGATGTTTTTCTCCTAAGGGGCTGGATATTCGCAATGTGAAGATTTTCTCTTAAGAGGTTGGATATTCGCCAAGGTGGAGAATTGTTAGGTATGGCTCATATACCATGAATTTGGAGTCTCTTGGAACTGGAGAGGTGCGTCTCCTGAAATAAAGAGGTGTGTCTCTTGGTGTGAAGATGTGTGTCTATTGGATTAGTGAGTTGGGGGGAGCGAGGGCGTGTTTGTAATCGTGTTTGTAATTATATGTGTAATTATATGTGGGTTTTATCTATAAATAGATGTGTAACCTTATGGGTATGTAACTCCTCTAAAATTGTGAAATTCGCCTCTCGCTCCCGAGGATGTAGGCATCTTTGCCGAACCTTTTTAAATCTCAGTGTTCTTCTTCGGGTTTTGTGTCGATCATGTGTTTTCTTCACCCTAAATTTCATAACAGAATACACATGAGATCATTGGGGGTCAGTGGTCCATAAGTAAGAGGCACAATGACGAGAAATATCGAGCCCGAAGTTATCCAGACAAAAGACATAATGGTTGGCCCAAGGCTGGAGGAAAGAAGGAAGAAATAAGCATCACATCCTAGAGGGAGAAGTCTCGAAGTCCTTCGACGAGGGAGCAAGAAGAAGAAGATTAAAAATAAGTGAAAAAAAAAATCATTTGAGATTGCATTCTCAATAGAGATTGTTAAAGTTGAAACACCACAGAAGCATCTTTAGAATCCTACAAAGGGAGGTCAGATCCATCCGACCAAGTGGCATCTTTTGAATAGGGGGTTTGTTTACTAAAACTGAAACATGCTTTGAAGTGTTATTTATTCCTTATGACACTAAGAAGAAAACCTTTATGTTAGTTCAATAACTTCCTAACTTCAGTCATTGTCTCCTTTAAAAAATTCAAGCATATGTTTGTGGCATAATTTGCTAGTGCTCATAAGCCACAGAAAAACTCTAAGGCATCCTAAAGATTTGTTAGGAGCCTTCAAAAATCCTAAAGAGCTTCCTCACTCTTTTTAAGTGAGATTGTTGGATATCAAGAACTTAGTGCCCTTCGTTGCACTTGCTCAAAGCCTGGATGAAGAACAATTTAGATATGCATTTGGCCAAGAAAAGCCCAAGACCCTAGTCGGGCTCCTGAAGCTGGCTAATATTCACACTTTAGCAGAGGAGTATAATTCCTTACCAAACACCTCCAAGCCTTTAGAATTGGAGAAAGATTTTGAAAGCAATCTCATAGAGATCGTAGAAATATGAGAAATTGCTTTAATCAAAGGAATCTTAAAGCAATTTTCAAATCACACCTCTAAGATGTTTTCAACGGCAAGAACGAGAATCTCCTCACAAAGAAATAACTGAAAGAAGACCCACAAGCAGACGGTCAAATCATCGAAGCCATCCAGAATAAAGAATTATTCAAAAAGTCTCTGCCTGTGAAACTCATCAACATGATCCAGACATGTATTGTACTCATCATCAGGATCATGGTAATGATCTAGCGGAATGTCGAGACCTCCAAAATTTCATTTATGAGTTAATCCGAGTGAAAAAGTTGAAGGAGTTCGTAGCCTTAGATACAAACACCAGAAGATGTGGGAAGCCACTCATCGAAGAAACAAGTAGTAAGGCTACGAATAGTACATGTCAACAATAGATTCTCATGAGAAGGAAATGAGATGTGTTGAATGATTTCCCTACCAGTGATTTTGGAAGAATGAGAAATGTAATACACTGCATGAGCTGATTTCGTTGTGGCGGATGCCTTGAACTCTTGTAATATATATGCTATCGCCGATAGATCTACCCAATGTAGGAATCCGTTAATTATTACCCTTTTAAAATTCCTTCAAAAATAAAAAAATATAACACCATATACTTAAAAACTAAAGTTGATAAGGTACTCAAAGTAAGTTTCATGAGAGAAATCTAGTCTATAATTTGTTGGCTTTCAAGAGTTTGATAGTTAAGAGGTGTGCCTACAAATTAACCAAAAACACTCCATAACAATGCATTAACATTGCCTAATTATCCTTTGTAAAATCTCCACATGAATTCTCTTTATAAAATTTCGACATTCAAACAAAAGAAGAGAGCAAATAAATACTAGATACATAACAATTATATGAACAAACTCATAATCGAATGAATTGAAGTCAACCATGCACCAATCATACAAAGTCAGAATCCGGCATTGCCGGCATGAACACCGGCCTAACATCCTTTCTCCCTACGTACGAGACGGCTTCGCTGGCCCCATTGCTTTTTCGACGAGGCTTTGCCTCGGCCAGCATCGTCAATACGTCTCTCATCGATGGTCGGTCCTTGGGCGACCGTGCTGTGCAGAGAAGGGCGATTCGCAGAAGGAGAAGCATCTCTTCTTGAACATGCTTGCATTGCCCGGCGATGCTCCTGTCGAGTACCTCGTCAATCGGCGGGCGGTCGGCCCTTAGTCTATCCATTACCCATCCAACTATGTCTCGATCTTCGCCGAACTCTGCTTCCACCGGTTTTCTCCCCGTTATCAGCTCCATTAACACCACGCCAAAGCTGTAAATATCGCTTTTTTGGTCTACTTTCATTGTATATCCGTATTCTGAGGCAATCAAAGAGTATCTTGATACTATGCTTGTATTTAGTTATAATATATATAGAGAGAGAGAGAGAGAGAGAGAATTAAAATTGCTTGAAAAGTATTTAAACGTTTAAAATTCATTTTAAGATAAGTAAAATATAATCATGAATAATAAATTTAAAAAAGTTTAATAAAATTAAAATTCAAATAAAACTATTATTTAATGAGTAGTCACCGGGAGCAATGTAGCCGTAGGAGCCGGCGATGGTAGAGACGGTGTGGTTCTTCCTGAGCAACGTCCTCGCAAGGCCGAAGTCAGCAATTCTCGCTTCTAGATTCACGTCAAGCAGTATATTGCTCGATTTAACGTCCCGGTGGATCACTGGCGGGTGGCAGTCATGGTGCAGGTAAGCAAGCCCCTGCGCCACCCCTGCCGCCACATTATACCTCGTACATGCCGCCGCCAGCCCCCACTGCCTCGCCGTGCAGCGCCTCCCATAAGCTCCCATTAGGCATGTACTCGTATAAAAGCATCGTCTCGATGTCGTTGTGGAGATAGCCCAGCATTCGAACGATGTTTCGGTGACGGAGCCTGCCCAAGAGATTCACTTCTCCAACGAATTCGCCAGCGTCATCGCCGCCGCGGCCGCCAGGCGAGCGCCATAGCTTCTTGACTGCAAGGACGGCGTGGTGGCGCGGGATCTCAGCTTTGTAGACTATGCCGGTGGCGCCCATTCCAATTACATTGGATTCTTTGATGCAGGCGAGCACGTCGGCGGTGGTGAAGTTGAGGCGCTGGAAGGCCGTGAGCAGCCAAGGCCAAGGGCCGCCGTCGGCGAGATCTTTGTTGAATCGGTTAGGGCAGCATGATATGCCGATGTACCATCTCGAGTAAAGCCGTCGGGCAAGGAGAAATCCGGCGGCGGTGGTTAAAATGGCGGACGTTCCAACAAACCAACAAGTTACAATGCTTTTGATATGTGAATCTGGTCTCCTTAAGCTCTCTGGTGCGGGGTGATCGTCGGAGCAGGAGGGGAGAACGCCGCCGCAGAGGTCTGGGTTGCCGGCGACGTCATCCGGGTTCATCGTTCGGAGGATGCCTTTCATGGGCACCGGGCCGGAGAAATTGTTGTATGAGATGTTAAGTGTCTCCAGAGCAGGGGACGAGCCGAGGTTCTCTGGGAGGGAGCCGGAGAGGGAATTGCAAGAGAGGTCAAGAATGGCTAGTATGGGCATCAAAGCGATGGCCTTTGGGATTTCGCCGGTGAGCTCGTTATTGCTGAGGTTGAGATTAATGAGCCGTTGGCAACTTGTTAGGCTTGCTGGTATTGGTCCGGTGAGACGATTTCCGGAGAGGTCGAGAGTGCCGAGAGCAGAGCAGCCTTCAAGATCGTTCGGGATCTCGCCGGCGAGCTCGTTGCCGGAGGCAGAGAACGTCTGGAGCGTTGGGATGGAGAGGATGTTGGCTGGAAGAGAGATCTGGAGACTATTGCGGGATAAATCTATGAAGGAGAGCGAAGTCGAAGAGGTTAAATCTTCAGGGATTTCGCCGGAGAGCTCGTTGCCCGCTAGCTCGAGCCTCTGCAGCCTCGGCAATTGGCCTAAACCCGCCGGCACTGTTCCATTGATCCGGTTATTCTGTATTCTGACTCTGACTAGACTTTGGCAAGTGGATAGGCGGGCTGGGATCGGGCCAGAGAAATTGTTATTGAAAAGAATGAGCTTTGTGAGGCTGCCTCCGTCACAGAGGCTTAAAGGAATTTCCCCGGAAAACGAATTGGATGACAGGTCCAGCCACTGTAGTAAGGATTTCTGGCCGAGATTGGGTGGAAGAGGTCCCGTGAGGGAATTGTTCCAAAGCTCAAGAATTTGAAGGTGGGGCAGGTCGCCGAAGCTGGACGGCAGGGGACCTTGGAGTTTATTGCACATAAGATTCAGCAGCTGGAGATTAATCGATTGAACTAATTCCGGAGGAATCTCGCCTGAGATTAAGTTGTCTGATAGGTCCAGGGAGACGAGGGATGAGATATTCCCAATCTCTTTTGGTATTCCTCCCTGAAGTTTGTTCCTGTATAAGTAAACAACGGAGAGATAAGGCAACTTCCCGAGTTCCGCCGGAATAGGGCCGCTGAGGCTTCCGACCGCCATGTCAAGATACCGGAGATTTGTGAGATTGCCGAGTTCTGGCGGAATCTTGCCTTCGAACCCATTGTATCCGATTATGAGCGTTTCCAGATAGGCAAACTGGCCGAGCTCCGCAGGGAGCTCGCCGGTGAGGTTGTTGCCGGAAAGGCCTAAAAATACTAGCTTTTGCAGGTTCTTATAAGTTCTAGGGATTGATCCGGTGAAGAATCCACCGCGGAGATCGAGGGTTTCGAGAAGGGACGCATTGCCGACGTCCTCGGGTAGAATGCCTGCGAAATTGTTCCCGGATGCGTTGAGAGTTCTCAGCTTCGGGAAGGAGCCGACGCCAACCGGGAAAATGCCAGCAAAGTCATTGTCGCTGATATCGAGCTCACGCAGCTCGGCAAGGATAGGTAAAGTTTCCGGCAGAAAGCCGGAGAAGGAGTTGCAGCAGAGATTAAGGTGGGTGAGGGCGGGGAGGTAGCGGAATGCATCGAAGGAGATGGCGCCGCTGAGATTCATATGAGAAAGACCGAGTCTTTCGACGAAGCCTTCCGCATTGCAGTGGATTCCGGTTAAGTTGCAGTGGCCGGCGGCGGCAGCTGCGGCCTGCGGCGGCGGCGGCTCCGTGGGCAGTGGCCATATTCCAGTCTCTGAGGGCGTTCAAGGGGTCGATGAGGCCCGACTTGAAGGCTTGGAGAGCGGAAGCTTCGTCGACAATGAGAGTGGCATGAGAGGAGAAGAATGCGAGGAAGAATAGGAGAAACAAAATTTTTCTCATTGTGCCTCTCATCGTCGTCGTCGTCTTCTTCTTGACCTGCTGCTTCCAACTCCTCGATAATCCTACTCCATTAGGCATTATGTTTGTTGTAGTTTCATCAGTTAGTTGGCTTTCAGTGCGCTCAAGATAGCGGAAGCGAAGTGGGAGTTTTTTTTTTTTATAGAAGCGAATAGAAGCGAAGAGGTGATTTTTCAAGTTTTCTCTGCTTTCCTGTAAATTTAATTTTTTTTTTCTTTAGTATGTATATATATATTATTCCATCGTGCTCTACGGTAAAAGGTCCAACAGGGTCTAAACATTGATCACACTGCTGGTAATGCAAGATGTATTTCACGTTATTTAAATTTGAAGTACATAAATTGGATTATAATTCTCATGCCCAGCAACATATGCCACGCATTAACTGATAGTCTTGTTTGTTATTATTATTATTATTATTATTATTATTGTATACTTAAAAATGTTTTACATGGATCTCGAGACAATCTAGTTGTCCGCCGATCAATCTCTCCCCCCTGGCTATCTCACTTCACTGCACTAATCAAGCTCTTTCCCTCGACCATCTCACTTTAGTTTGTCAAGAAATATGAACATGAAATTCTGCATCGATCTCGAAACAATCTAACGGACGAAATAAAAATGATTAAAATTTCTTTTGGTTCTCTCTTCAATAGCATAACCAAATATGTAATTTTTGTACATATTTGGGGGCACCCCTCATTTGTAACTATTAAAAAGGGTCTACATACACCCCATTTCCCTCCAGCCGGGGAACTCCCTTTCTTCTCTCTCACCATTATCTCTCATTTCTCCCCCTCTCCATTGTCTCTCATTGGTCCAACGCTTTATTACTTTGACACGATCTATCGGACTCATCTGGATTCAACAGTTATTACTTTCTTAGAAGTTGTTTTGAGGGCAATTATTTTTAAGAGTTAAATGTCATTTCTTTTAATGGAAGGATGAGTTGTTGAATGTGATATCTTGAGCTGCTTTGTTGAATACGATATCTTGAGATGCTTTGTTTTATTTCCAACCCATATATTTCACATTTTAACACAAGAGTTAGTTGTGTTTCTAACATGAGTCACTCAAATAATCTCTATCAATGGGCCTCACAACTTAATGTAAATTGTGCTTAATTCGAATGAGAGTGACGATTTTTATTTATTTTTATTTTTGCAGCTTGAGAATTATAGATGAATCTAATTAGATGTACTAAAAAATAAATTGGTATGTCGTGTTATTTGATTTTATGAAAATTAAATATAAATAAAATGAATATATGCTTTAGATTAAAAAGAATGCAATGGAACTTAAGTTTTTGGAATTCATCATTTTGTTTGTTTTTAATGCATTTCAAATATAACATGTTGGTTTTATTTGTCAACTATGATATTTTTTCATCATCGTCGCCAAAATTCATCATTTTGTTTGTTTTTAATGCATTTCTTTGTCAACTATGATATTTTTTCATCATCGTCGCCACTCACCACTCACTACCTATTTTCTTCGATTAATAATGACAATCCATTACATCCTTCGATAATAAGTTTTAAATCAAATTTATTTTATTTCAAATAAAAAATAAAAGAATAATCTTGTTTGTTTGTTTTATACTCGCAGAACAAATTATAAATATTTTATTGGTTTTTACTCAATTTTTAAATTGTGTTAAATCAACAACCTCATATTAGGCATTTGTGCCACTCAACAATCATGACAAATTAAAAAAAAAAGGATAATTCAAAGAAGTAAAGTACCAAAATAGCCCCCGGACTATTTATATCTTTATAGTGTCAAAATATTCCTCATAATTTTTAAATTGGGGCTAAAATAGTCCCCAGCAGGCTATTTAAAGTTCAATTTTAAAGTGGTTGATGAATGCTTGACAAAACTTTGGGACTAAACAACTTGTGTAAATAGGTAATGACTATTTTAGCAATTTAATAAGAAGTCAGTGTTTTTAAAAAAAAAATTAATTTGGTAAATTTTATGGCTTTTTTAATTAAAATATTGTGCTAAATAAAGATAATGAGTGAATTTTTTTTTTTTTTTTCAAGTTTCCAAAAAAATATTTCTCATATAATTCAAATTAAGATCAATGATTTTGAAAAATAAATTTATTTATAAAAAATCAAATAATATTTATGTTTCCAATCTGAAATGATTCCACTTTTATTCATATTTATATATAAGAGCTCGATGTATTTTTTTTTATTTTTATTTATTGAAAAAAAAAAAGAGAAGAAACAAATGCAGTGCTGTCAAAAGGCAACATCTTCGCCATTATCACGACAAAACTCCAATTTGTAAAGCAGAAAAATAGTTATTAATTAAGCTGATAATTAGCTTCCACAGAATCTTTCCATGTTGTTAGTTCATAATTAGAAAACCTTACAGCTCTCATTAATTAAAAAAAGAAGAATTTACATTCATGCCATCAATTCCTATATATTTACAAACCTAACACCTAAACATTTCTTTTCACATTTATACCACCCAAAATTTTCACATCATGTCAAAAATGTCACTTCTTCACTTTGAAAAAGTGAAATATACATGTTCATGCATAAATATTTAAGATTGGGTGTTAGATATGTAAATTCATAGGAATTGAGCGGTATGAACGTAAATCTTATTTGAAAAAAAATATATGAAGACAGCCTCAGATGCAGGTTTGAGAGAGAGAGAGAGAGAGGAGGAGGAAGAAGCAGCAGCAGCCATATGCAATGATGGAGATGCGGCCACCAACCACTAAGCTTTCAAACTCCATTAACCATAGCTCACATGGCTCTAATGGCTACGCCCTTTTAATTATCAATAAATTAAGAAGGGAGAGAGAAATAGATGGGAGGACATGTGAGGCGGCCTTTTTTTTTCTGAGGAATTATTGAGCATGTTCTTCCATTTTCTATATTTCTGCCGTTTGGGCATTTCGTCGAACATCTGTAACGGAAGTGATGTTGCAGGATCTTTGAGCAGTTCGAGGAGATTGCTGGAGGGATCATTGATTGGGCTCATCATGTTAAGGACTCTTTTTTTTCCTTTTTCTCAATCAGTTTCTATTTTTGTAAAAAATGAGATTTTTATTTAATAAATCACTCAATTTTTCAAAAATATATGAAAGTGTTGACTTCTTATATATCTATGAATCATATCAAAGTAATAGAGTATAAGACATAGAGAGTGACAAAGAGGAAAATGCACAGCAATGAATAATAATAATTTTATCTATTAGTTATTTTGTCATAAAATGATTCATATATTTATAGAAGAGATATATAAAGTTACATGTTTGTCCTTATTTTAACGGTGGCATTACAATGTTTTGTAAGTATTTTACATATGTTAGTCTGTAGCTCGACAACGTTCTAGCTCGGTAGGTTGCGGATCACAAAGGTTTGCTCAATCGGCTATGCTGAGTGGCATAGCCGATCGATTGAACTTATCTGACTTTAGGTTAGCATAATTATTTTGGTATGTTGGGGATTATTGATCGGTTGAGACTCGCTCCATGCTTTAGATCCCGAGCGAGGCTGTCGGGCGAGCCTGACAATGTATATATGTTTAGATTTGATGCAGTTGTTTTTTTTTTCATTCTTTTTAGTTGAGCTTTTGGAGTCGTCAGCTTGTCTTATCGTCTTTGTACAATTCTCATTCTGAATAAGTCTCTCTTTTAAGAGGAATAAAAAAGAAAGAAAATGCAACTAAAATAAACAAACAATTAAAAAAAAAAAAGTGAAAACCTTTCATAAGATAACCTTCACATGATAGCTCAAGAGCTCAAAACAGGATCAGATCAAAAATGTCTTGGAAGCATATCCGCAAAGAGAACCCTATAAATGTAGCTCACAACAAGAGAATCAAGTTTTTGTGCTTGTTATGGGACAAGAGAATCTCCCAAAGAAACATTTCCCTTTGGTTAATTGCATCTTGGAGGTTGCCCAAGAATACTCTCGATAAGAGTAGTCTTGTTTACATAATTTTTTTTTTTCTGATTATTTAGGAAACCAAAGGATTTTAATCATATTTTTTTTTTCTTCTGATTATTTAGGAAACCAAAGGATTTTAATCATCTCAAGTGGGAAAATCACAACACCTTCAATGTCTTTGTCGAGCCATAGGGCTGAGGGTGAATCACCGTAACCACTACGAGCGGCGACGCATGAGCATGCAGAGGCCCATGAAATGATATCAAAGATTGTTTCAAAAGGATGACATGTCTCAAAAGAGGTGTCAACAAGAAGGGGAAGACTCCCTTAGCAGGTAGACATAGCCAAGTCAGGATATCATGGATCCTTCGTCCTTGGCTATGGAGGCCCTAAGTCTACCTACTAGTGTAGGGAGACCGTAAGACTACCGGGGTCAGGTATGACCTGAATGGTCTGAAACTCAATTTTGTGCTCGAATGTTCGTAGGAAGGTTTTTCACTAATATGTAAGCTACATGAAGTCATTTATCATTGAATTATAATCCTGTAACTTAAGAATGAACGTTTTAGAGGTTTTAACTTGGGGATTGAGTGTCGATGGGTGTTTCGGACTCCCGTGCAGCTAAGTTGGTCTAAAATTGAGTTTTTTAGAAACATTTGTGGGACAGTTTGATGGTTGCCCTTGCCGCGAGAAGCTCTGAATAGAAGTTGTATGGTCTCTTCACATCAAAATGGAAATTATACATGTGCCATGTCTGAATTCCCATCACCGCATATGAATTTTCCCAAGTATGTTTGAATATGTACCAATTTTGATTCTACGGTCTAGGCTTGTAACAGGAGGTCCAATCGAATGTCTTAGACCATGGGAGATCAAGCAAGGTCTCGTATCATTCAAGCGGTCATTATGTGTATGTGACATCAAAAATTGATGCCAATAATATTTTTATTTATAATAGGTTGTTTCAACGTGGGCTCGTCTCGGGCGAAACGACAAATGAACCACTCGTAAAATATTTTCTCTCGGAGTAAATTTTGAATATACTTTGTAAATGAACGTTTCTTGAATTCTTTGTTGATGTGATGGTGCCTTCTCAAAATCGATGTGCAATTATGTGCGACGATTTTGTTTCCTTCGTTACCATATATATATGGGCTAAGGATTTGTTTTTACACTCTACTTCTTACCCTCTCATTTCACTTTTGT